CTTCTTCTTCTTCTTCTTCTTCTTCTTCTTCTTCTTCTTCTTCTTTGTCTTCCTCTTCTTCTTCTTCTTCTTCTTCTTCTTCCTCTTCCTCTTCCTCTTCCTCTTCCTCTTCCTCTTCTTCTTCTTCTTCTTCTTCCTCCTCTTCCTCTTCCTCTTCCTCTTCCTCTTCCTCTTCCTCTTCCTCTTCTTCTTCTTCTTCTTCTTCTTCTTCTTCTTCTTCTTCTTCTTCTTCTTCTTCTTCTTCTTCTTCTTTGTTTTCTTCTTCTTCCTCTTCTTCTTTCTTCTATTTTCTCCTTCTTCCTCTCTCTGTCTCTCTGTCTCTCTTTCCTTTCGGTTTGCAATACAGATACTGAAAGTTTATCGGGAATATTCCCTTACCTATTTTTAAGACTGGGACTGGAGCGATAGCACAGCGGTAGGGTGTTCGCCTTACAAGCGGCCAACATGGCCGACCCGAGTTCGATTCCTCCACCCCTCTTGGAGAGCCCGGCAAGCTACCGAGAGTATCTCGCTTGCACGGTAAAGCCTGGCAAGCTCCCCGTGACGTATTCGATATGCCAGACACAGTAACAACAAAGTCTCCAATGGAGATGTTACTGGGCCCGCTCGAGCAAATCGACGATCAATGGGAGGGCATTTACCTTTACCTTTACTTTTAAGACTCAGTTCTTGTCCAGCGTGATACTTTCCATCTATTATTGTCATACAGTTCCCTTCTCTATCTTACCTACCTCAACCCCCCACACATATACTTGTTCTTGATTCCAACCAATGACAAGACCTCCTAGTCCCTATTTTCCCAGGCCATGGATATTAGTCTTCTATGAATGAATGCAGGCACTCTATATATGTCCTCCTCCTTCTCACTTATTTAACTCAGCATGATACTCTCAATGTCTATCCATTTACAGACAAATTCATGAATTCATTTCTTCTAACACCTGCATAGTGTTCCATTATATAGATGTTCCATGGTTTCTTTATCCATTCCTCTATTCTTGGGCACTAAATTGTTCCCAGATTCTGGCTATGGTGAATAGTGCTGCAATGAACATAGTAGGGCAGATGGTGATGGGAGGGCATCATCTTTACCAACTTCAAACTCTACTACAAATTGATAGTAATTAAAACAGCATGGTATTGAAATAAAGAAAGACCCACTTGCCAATAAAATAGGGTTGAATATCCTTACACACACCCTCAAATATTTTCTCATTTAATCTTTGACAACGGAGCAAGAAATATGAAGTGGAGCAAGGAAAGTCTCTAACAAGTGGTGCTGGCAAAACTGGAGAGCTACATACAAAAAAAGTTGGCTGAGACAGATATCTAACATGCAGAAAAGTCAGATCAAAATGGATTAAACACCTCAACATCACATATATAAGATACATGGAAGAAAATGTAGACTAAACCCTCCATGATATTGAAGCTAAAGGTATCTTCAAAGATAAAATGCCACTGACCAAGCAAGTGGAAATAAAGATAAACAAATGGGACCACTTTAAATTAAAAAGCTTCTGCATTTCTAAAGAGACAATGACAAAGATTCAAAGATACAAAGACAGCCTACTGAATAGGAAAGGTTATTCAACCAATACCATTCTGATAAGTGCTTAATATCAAAGATATACAATGTTCTGGTTGAACTCTACAATAAAGATCATCTAACCCCATCAGAAAATGGGGCAATGAAATGAACAGAAACTTTCTCAGAAGAGAAATTTGAATTGCCAAAGGACACAAAAAAGAATGCTGTTCGTCACTAGTCATCAGGGAGATGCAAATCAAAACAACAATGAGATGCCATATCACACCACAGAGATGGCACACATCTAAAATAATAAGAAAAGCAAAGCCAGTTCTGGTACAGATCCATGGATAAAGGGACTCGTCTTCATTGTTTGTGGGAATACCTACTGGAAGCTCTTTTGGAAAACAATTGGGCATTCCACAAAACAAAACAAAACAAAACAAAAAAACTAGATATTGAGCTCTCATTTGACCCAGCAATACAACTTCTGGAATATACCATGTTGTATATTTTTAACTCTCTTGGCAACTACTCATGTTCCAGAACCTCAACTTATGTTCCCATGTAACTTCAATCAACCTGATAGTGTTCCCTTACCTTCTCCCCTCCAACATGGCGCTATCAGTTCTGAAATCTAGTGTACAAGGTTTATTTTCTAGTGATATTATCTATACGCTTGATTCATTTCTCTATACCACTCATTAGTGAGAGCATCTTGTAGTTGTTCTGCTTTTTTCCTTTCATTAAGCTTGGTATCTTCCAATTTCATTCATCTTACAATAAACTGTATGAATTTTTTGTGGTTGCACAATATTTTATTGTGTATGTTTATCACAATTTTTATATTTTATTCACCAGTCTTTGAGCATTTGGGTTACTTTCGTACATGGCTATTGTATTAGGTGATACAATGAGCATAAATATTTTCAAATTAATATTTTTGTGTTTTCATGGTAGATACCTAAAAGTGGGTTAGATGTGTCAAATGGGAGTTCCATTTTTAGTTTTCTCAAGAAACCTCCATATTGTTTTCCAGAGTGGATGCATCATAAAACATTCTTACCAACAGTGAAAAGGGTTTCTTTTTTTGCAATACCCCTGTAAACACTTGTTTCCTTTGTGTTCTATATATGCCCCCATCACTATCATTTTGATTTGTGCTTCTATCATTCTAATAGAGAAAATAACCTCTTTTTTCATAAGCTTCTTATTCATATAAATTCTTCACAGAACTGGGTATTTATCCCTTCTCCCCATTTTTTCCTTTTTTTGTGTGTCACATACAGCATGGTCAGGTTTACCCCTGGCTCTGCATTTAGGAATTAGTCCTGGAAGTACTTTGGGAACCATAAGGAATGGTGGAGATTGAACCAAGCTTGGCCACATGCAAGGCAAACACCTTACTTTTAGTACTATTGCCCTGTCCCTCCTCATTTTTTGATTGGGGATGTTGTTTTTTCCATCTTCTGTTTTCTCTTATCCCTTTCATAAGGAATAGTCCTTTCTATTCATTTCATACCTGTTATAGCTTAGGTATTTCATATCCATTGTTAAATTGATTACTAGATATTTAATGTTGTACCACGACTTTAAAAAATATATTTTCTGATCTTTATCTCTTTTAGTCTATTGTTTGAATTATAATAGTGGAACATATTTTGTGTATTCATTTTGTAGCCTGTTACTTTGCTACCCTGGTTTATTATAAAAAAGAATAATTTTACTTTTTTTCCACTTGTATCCCCTTGGCTTCTTTTTACTGTCTACTGACTGATGCAAGTCCTCCTAAAATAATATTGAACAGTAGTAATAAAAGAGAATTTTCTTGCCTTGTACCTCAGAGGGGAGATTTTCATTTGTTATTTTGGGTATGATTTAGTTGTGAGTTAGTTTGAAATAGTTATTACTGTCTTGAAGAATGTCCCTTTTATGTCAGTTTTGTTGAGAACTTTCATTGGTCATGAACTAACTGATAATAAATTTTGTTGAAGCTTTTCTCAATAAAACTTGGCATATCATATTATTATTATTTTTTAATTTTTATTAGTGAAAAACCATAAGGTACAGTTGTAGACTTACAAACTATTGTGCTTGGCTTTCAATTGTACAATGATCAAATACCCATTCCTCCACCAGTGCCCATTTTCCAACACCAAGGGTCCCAGTATCCCTCCCACCCCCCATCCCCCCATCCCACCCTGCCTCTGTGGCAGGGCATTCCCTTTTGTTCTCTCTCTCCTTTTGGGTGTTGTGGTTTGCAAAAGAGGCATTGAGTGGCTATCATGTTTGGTCTATAGTCTATTTTCAGCATGCTTCTCCCATTCTATGAGTATCCTCACAGTACCCTTTATTTGGTGCTTCCTTCTCTATCTGAGCTCCCTTTTACCCTACCATGTGTGGCTGGCCTCCAAGCCATGAAACAAACCTCCTGGTACTAAATTCGGCCACTCTTCAAGAAGAAACTTGGTCACTCCACAAGAAGAAAACAAAAGGACTGAACCAATCGGCATTCCCACAATGAAAAAGTGTCCCTTTCTCACCGCATCTGTGCCAGCACCAGTGGCTTTTGTTCTTTTGGATGTGGGCCAGTCTCTGTGGTGTACATACAACACTTGTACGTAAATTTTATAACTTCATTTTTTCTAACAACTACATAGTACTCCATTGTGTAGGTGTACCAAAGTTTCTTTAACCAGTCATCTGTTCTTGGGCACTCAGGTTTTTTCTAGATTCTGGCTATTGTAAAGAGTGCTGCAATGAACAAACAAGTGCAGATGTCACTTCGACTATATTTTTTTTGCCTCTCTGGGATATATTCCCAGGAGTGGTATTGCTGGGTCAAATGGGAGTTCAATTTCTAATTTTTTGAGAAACGTCCATACTGTTTCCAAAAGGACTGGACCAATCGGCATTCCCACTAGCAGTGAAAGAGGGTCCCTTTCTCACCGCATCCGTGCGAGCACCAGTTGCATTTGGATGTGGGCCAGTCTCTGTGGTGATATCTGATATCTCATTGTGGTTTTGATCTGCATCTCCCTGATGATTAATGATGTAGAGCATTTTCTCATATGCCTTTTAGCCATTCGGATTTCTTCTTTGAGAAAATTTCTGTTCATTTCGTCACCACACATTTGATGGGATTGGATGTTTTCTTCTTGTGGAGTTCAAGCAGTACTTTGTACATCCTTGATATCAACCACTTGTCAGATTTGTACTCGGCAAATATGCCTTCCCATTCTGTAGATTGTCTTTGTATTTTGGTCACTGTTTCTTTTGAGGTGCAGAGGCTTCTTAGTTTAAGATTGTTTCATTTGTCTATCTCTGTTTTCACTTTCTTGGCTAGTGAGGTGACATATTTGAAGATACCATTAGCTTCAATGTCATGGAGGGTTTTGCCAACTTTGTCTTCAATGTACCTTATGGATTCTGGTCTGATGTTGAGGTCTTTAATACATTTTCATCTTACTTTTGTACATGGCGTTAAGGAGAGATCTGATCCCTCTTTTTTGCATGTAGCCATCCAGTTTTGCCAGCACAATTTGTTAAAGAGGCTTTCCCTGCTCCACTTCACTTTTCTTGCCTCCTTATCAAATATTAGATGCTCGTATGCTTGGAGGGAGATGTCAATATATTCAACCCTGTTCCATCGGTCTGCAGCTCTGCTTTTGTTCCAGTACCATGCTGTTTTTATTATTACTGCTTTGTAGTAGAGTTTGAAGATAGGGAGGTTGATTCCTTCCATTTTCATTTTCCCAAGACTTGCTTTAACTATTTGGGGCGCTTATTGTTCCACATAAATTTTAGGAGTGTTTGCTCCATTTCTTTGAAGAATGTCATGGATATGGTTATAGGGATAGCATTGAATTTGTACAGTGCTTGGGGAAGTATTGCCATTTTGACATTGTTAATTCTCCCGATTCATGAACGGGGATATTTTTTCATTTTCTGGTGTCCTCTTTTATTTCCTGAAGTAGATTTTTGTAGTTTTCTTTGTACAGGTCCTTTAGTTCCTTAGTTAAGCTGATTCCTAGGTACTTGATTTTCTAAGGCACAATTGTGAATGGGATTGTTTTCTTTATGTCACTTTCTTCTCTTTAACTTTTCGAGTATAGGAAAGTCATGGACTTTTGCGTATTGATTTTATAGCCTGTCACTTTACTATACAAGTCTAACTTTTCTAGCACTTTCTTGGTAGAGGTTTTAGGTTCTCTAGGTATAGTATCCTATCATCTGCGAATAGTGAGAGCTTAATTTCTTCCTTTCCGACCTGGATGCCGTTAATATCTTTTTCTTGCCTAATTGTTATTGCAAGTACTTCCAGTACTATATTGAACAGTAGTATAGAGAGTGGGCATCCGTGTATCGTCCCTGATCTTAGGGAAAAGGCTCTCAGTTTTTTCCCATTGAGGATGATGCTTGCTGTAGGCCTGTGGTAGATGGCTTTAACTATATTGAGGACATTTTGCGATTGTTTTCATCATAAATGGATGCTGAAACTTGACAAATGATTACTCTGTATTTATTGATATGATCATATAGTTTTTGTCTTTTCTTTTGTTGATATGATGCATTATGTTGATTGATTTCCGAATGCTAAACCATCCTTGCATCCCTGGGATGAATCCTACTTGGTCATGGTGTATCATCTTTTTGATGAGTTGTTGAATTCTATTTGTTAGTATTTTGCTGAGAATCTTTGCATCCATGTTAATCAGGGATATCGGCCTGTAGTTTTCTTTTTCTTGTGGTGTATTTGTTTCCTTTTGGTATTAGAGAGATATGGGCTTCATAGAAACTGTTTGGGAGAGTTTCTGTTTTTTTTTTTCACATTCCTGGAAAAGCTTGAGAAGATCTGGCAATAGTTCCTCTTTACATCTTTGGAAAAATTCGTTAGTGAATCCATCTGGACCTGCACTTTTGGTTTTGTGAAGACTTTTGATTACAGTTTCAATTTCCTTGATGTTAATAGGTCTATTCAGGTACTCTATGTCTTCTTGATTCACCTTCAGGAGGTTAAAGGTATCCAGGAATTTATCCATTTCTTCTAGGTTCTCTTGTTTTATGGTATACAGTCTTTCAAAGTAGTCTCTGATTATCTTTTGAATTTTTTTGTTTCTGTTGTGATATCCCCATTCTTATTTCTGATTTGATTTATTAGGGTTCTCTCTATATTTCTTTGTGAGTGTTGCTAGTGGTTTATCTATCTTATTTATTTGCTTGAAGAACCAGCTCTTGGTTTCATTGATCATTTGGATGATTTCTTTGGTTTTCGTGTCATTGATTTCTGCTCTAAGTTTTATGATGTCTTTTCTTCTGCCTGATTTCGGCTCCTTCTGCTGAACCTTACCTAAGATCTTGAGCTTTGAAGTCAAGTTGTTTATGTGCATCCTTTCTTCCGTCCTGAGATATGCTTGAAGAGCTATATATTTTCCTGTTAATAAAGCTTTAGGTGCATTCCATAACTTCTGGTAGCTTGTGTCTTCATTCTCATTTGTTTACAGGTATCTTTTGATTTCGTTCTTAAATTCCTTCCTGATCCACTCATTGTTCAGCATTGAGTTGTTTAATTTCCAGGTTTTTGATTGGGTTCTCCGTGTCTGTGTGTAATTCACTTCTATTCTCAGTGCATCATGGTCAGAAAAGAATGTTTATATTTTTTCTATCTTCCTGAGTGTTTTGAGGTATCTTTTGTGGCCTAGCACATGGTTTATTTTGGAAAATGTTTCGTGCACACTGGAGAAGAATGTGTATTCTTTCTTTTTTGGGGTGTGAAACTCTGTATAGGTCTATAAGCCCGGTTCTCTTCTATTTCTTTTAAAGCCAATGTTTCCTCGCTGAGTTTTGTTCTTGTTGATCTATGAAGAGGTGATAAGCCTATGTTGAAGTCTCCGGCTCTTATTGTGTTGCTAGCAATGTCCTCCTTAAAATCTGTTAGCAGTTGTTTTAAATATTAGCTGTTCCCTCAGATTCGTATACATTTAAGACTGTGATTTCTTCCTGTTGTACTTATCCCTTGATGAATAGAAAATAGCCTTCGCTGACCTTTCTAATCTTTTACAACCTGAAATCTATGTTATCGGATACAAGTATGTCCAACCCAGCTTTTATGAGGGAACTCATTGCTTGCAGGATTGTTTTCCATCCTTTAACTTTGAGTTAGTGTTTGCTCTGACTGTTCAGATGAGTTTCTTGTAGGTAACAGAATGTTGGGTTATGTCTCTGAGTCCATTTTGCCACTCTGTATCTCTTAATAAGTGAATTAAGACCATTGACGTTGAAAGAGATTATTTTTATGGGAATTTGTGTCATCTTTCTGTAAGGGTTTGTTGTGGTTGTAAGGTTTGTCTTGTCTTATGATAGCCCCTTTAGCCCTTTTTTAGTTCTGGTTTTGAGTCTATGAAATTCTTTACCTGCTGTTTATCCAGAATATATTGTACAGTTCCTTTGAGTTTGAGTGAGAGTTTTGCCAGATGGAATATTCCTGGTGAAGCATTCATTTCAGTGAGTTTTTTCACTATATTCCATCATTTCCATCAGGCTTGGAGAGTTTCCTTTGATAAATCTGCTGTGAATCTAAGAGATGCTCTTTTGTATGTGAGTTTCTTCTTTGACCTTGTTTCTTGCAGTATTGTGTCTCTATCGGCAGCATTGATCATTCTAACTATAATATGTCTTGGAGTGTTTTTGTTAGGATCTCTTTCAGCTGGCACCCTTCGGGCTCCTTGGACCTGAATTGCTGGATTGTTGAGCTCTGGGAATTTTTCAGCAATGATTTGTTTAACCGTGGTCTTTTCATTAGGATTGTTTCCCTGAGCTTCTGGTAGTCCAATGATTCCAATGTTGTTCCTCTTGGAATCATCTCCTAGGACTCTGATTCTCTATAGAGCTATTTTGTGGTCCCTTGCCATTGTTTGTTGTTGCCTGTTAGCTTGGTTTAGCTGATCTTCCAGCTCACTGATTCTGTCTTCAGCTGCAGTCATTCTACTGTTGAGGGCACAGACTAAGTTTTTTATTTCATCTATGGAATCTTTAATTTGTGACATTTCTGTGCATAGCTTTTCAATTTCTACTCTCATTTCTTCCTGGATTTTCTTGAATGTCTGATCCATTGTTTCTTTCATATGCTCCTTCAATTTACTGGATGTCTGTCTGACTGTTTCATTGAGTTCATAGAAAATCTTCATGACTTCATATCTGAATTCTTTGTCAGAGAGGTCCCTTAGGTGAGCAAACCTAGAGAAGCTTCTGGACTCTTTTCATCATCCTCCCCATGTGGTGGGGATTTGCTTTTTTTCTTAGGTTGGTGTGTATGTATGGGAATTAGGTTTCTTGGTATAACTAAACTACCTGCGGCTGCATGACCATTGGCCCGCCTAAAATTAAGCCACACTCACTTCTACTGAAGCCACACCCACTTGAAAAAGGCCGAGCCCCCACGGGTACCTGGTGTTTGTGGGGGGAGTAAAGTCTGCATGGGGAAGAATACCAACACAGCTTGGGGGAGGAAGAGGAAGAGTTAGAGGCTAAGGGCTGCTTTTCTCTCAAGGTTCAAGAGGATGCCTGGGGGCTTGCAGGGAGAAATCTAAGTCCAGGGTTCGAATACTTGTGTATAAACTGACCTGGTTGGGGGAGAAGAACACACAGCTTAGGGGACGAAGAGGAAGAGGCAGAGGCTCAGGCTGCTTTTCTCCTAAGGTCCGAGAGGAAGCCTGGGAGGCTTGCAGGGAGAAATCCAAGTCCTGGGTTTGAATACCAGCGATAAACTCACGTGGGTGGGAGAGAAGACCAGCACAGCTTGGTGGACGAAGAGAAAGAGGCAGAGGTTCAGCGCTCCTATATCATATATTTTTATCTTTATTTTTGTTGATGTCTTGGCACATTACATTAATTGATTTGCATATCTCAAAACAACCCTGCACTCCTGGAGTGAATCTTTATTGTGATGTATCATCCTTTTGATATATTGTTGTATTCCATTCATTCAGAATTTCTTGAAGATTTCTATACTGTTTATAAGACATATAGATGAGTATTTTTCTTTTGTATTTTTTTAGAAACATCTCTGCTTTTAGGTACCACAGTGATGTCTTTCTAGAGATATTAGTTTGCTGCAAGGTTTTCAAGTATTTTGACAAGTACAGCTTGTACATTTTCTTTAAATTTTGGTAGGTCTCACTAGTGAACCTATCTTCCTGGTAAAATTTATTCTTGAGGAGATTTTTTTAAATTAATATTTAAATTTCCTAACTTAGATTGGTATATTTTAGTTTCCTCTTACTCTTGATTGATATTTGAAAAGTTGTGTGCTTCTGAAATTTATTCATTTGTCTAGGTTCTCTGTTGATGGCATAAAGTCAATCATAATGTCCTCTTATGATCATTTGGAGTTTGGAATATCTTGATTAATTTTAGACTTAATGATTTTAATAATGGAGCTTTGTTATCTAATCAATTTCAACTTTAGAATTATATTAACAGTTGTGACTTTTTCCTACATTAAAATAAAAATCCATCTTAAAAAACGAATATGCTCTGGTTTCATATTCTCTTTGTATTATTTGCTAACTACTTTTGTGACTCAATTTTATTCACCAGTTGAGAATGGTAAATATACTCCTATATTTCCTAGTTATTCAGAGCAGTTTGACTTCAACTTTAAACTATTATATACATGTACATTAGTCATTGAAAGGCATAATAAACACAGTTTTCCTAGCGAAGTATTAAAGTAGCACTGTAGCACTGTTCTCCTGTTGTTTGTCGATTTGCTCGAACAGGGACCAGTGATGTCTCACAACAAATAGTGAGAATTGTTGTTACTTTTTTGGCATATTGAATATATCACAGGTAGCTTGCCAGGCTTTCCTGTACTGGCGAGATACTCTCAGTAGCTTGCTGGGCTCTGTGAGAGGGATGGAGGAATTGAACCCAGGTCAATTACATGCTTGATTCATCTTTGGAACTGGGTGCAAACTTTGTGATCTAATGAACTATCAAAGAGATGCTTCATTGTTTGACATGGAATTTATATCAAATTATCAAAACTTAAATATAAGGATACAATGATTTTAATCTTTATTGATATGAAACATAATAGCAAACAAGGGAAAAAACGCATACTACTGAAAATTCAAGACACTTCTTCCGAATCCTGTTGAAAGTTTCCCATGACTCTTTTTTGTACATGATAACAATACACAGCATGCTCCAAGTGCTTTTAATTTTGAAAGTTTCACTATGCATCAGACAGGCAGCACATTTATGAAGTGACAGTTCATTTTTATTAATCGACTTTTATGACTAATTTTTTATGGGAAGCACTATTGAAAATTTATCTAAAATGTGTCCTTTGATAGATTCTTACATGATTCTTTCACACTGATTCTACTCCTCATTTATATCCCAGATGAACTTCAATGGCATGTCTTTCATCTTCCTTTGGAATATCATGTCAAATCTTTCACTTTGCGCCACAGTGAAATGGTTTTTCCAATCACCAATGGTACCTAATGTGATAGTTGCATGTTAGATCCTAGTTGAGAAATTAGATTTTTCAAGGCAAAAAATTTCACAATACTGTTTACTCTCCTTTCTAAGAAAAGATAATAATTATTCATTGTCAATTCAGCTTAAGAATTCACTTTTCCTTTTGTAAGTATGTCAAATTATTCCTCTCATAAATTCATCAACAACCATAATCCAATTATGACCTTACTTTAGAGAAAAATAAATATGAATTGAATAACATTTAAGATATATTTTAATAAATTTCAGGCAATATACTTCTCATCAAGCTTTAGTTGTTACATCACATAATTGGAACATAAACATAAAATTGAGGATGTCTTAAATTTTTATATGTAAATCAGTATTTTTTTTTGCTTTTTAGGGTCACACCCGGACATTGCACAGGGATTTCTCCTGGCTCTGCACTCAGGAATCACTCCTGGTGGTGCTCGGGTCACCATATGGGATGCTGGGAATCATATCCGGGTCAGCCGCGTGCAAAGCAAATGCCCTACCCGCTGTGCTATCACTCCAGGCCCCAAATCAGTATTTTTAAACTGTGTAAACAGAACAGAGATATTTAAGCAACAATGTAATATTAAAAAATGATTCCCAGAACTTCCATTGCTGTAATTTTACTGGAAAATGGAATTTACAGCTGATTGTGTTAATGAAATTCATAGCCGATTTGGTTACGATATTTGCTGCTTCCAGAACTCATTCAATTGGATTAATGTCATCACTTCTTTCAACATAAAAAATGTTGACTAGGAAATATATTAATCCAAATTTCCTCTCCTGTCCAAAATCTAATACCTCTGTGTATTTTTTATATTTATAATGTATTTAAGGTAACATATCTATTATAGTATGAATGTTTGTGGTACACAATGTACAAGCCGCATCAAAATGCAAAAGACTCTTTTCCTCTCTCTGTATGTCCCTTAAATATGTTTTAAATAAGAGAGATTTAAAATAAAACTTGTAAATTAAATTTAAAATTAAACTGAAATATAACTTTAAGGGTACTATTAAGCTAGCAAATAGAAATAAAGAAAAATTGACAGAAATTCACATATATCCAAATATAGTTAGGAAAGACTTCCTGCAATATTTTAAAATATAAGCTCTTATAAAAGAAAAATAATTGAAAACTAAACTTTAATATTAAGTTTAGTTATTGATTTTCTTTTTTTAAAAAAGTGTTTAGACTAATAGGATATATTTTAGATATTTTCAGGTGAGATCTTGATTTTGCTTAAAAGCCCAATTTGTTATGTTTTGAGGGTTATTGAGGAATTATGGGCTGGAGCGATAGCACAGCAGGCTAGGGCATTTGCCTTGCACACGGCCAACACTGCCGACCCAAGTTCGAGTCCTCCGCCCCTCTCAGAGAGCCAGCAAGCAACCGAGAGTATCTTGCCCCCACGGCAAGGCCTGGCAAGCTACCCGTGATGTATTAGATATGCCAAACACAGTAAAAAGTCTCACAATAATACTGGGCCCCCTTGAGCAAATTGATGAACAACGGGAGCACAGTGACAGTGACAGTGAGGAATTATAATATATTTGGCCTAATAACTAGGATTCAAGGAAATGCCAAAACCTAAACCACTAACTGTTACCTTTGCGCAGAAAATGCCCTTCACTTTTTATTCCAACTGTATTTTTGAGTATATCATTGTAATTTGCTCGCGAATCAGATTTCATATTCTTAAATGTAGCTTGTCTCACAACAGCATCCACATCATCTTCACTGAGTTCTTTCCCAAGAAAGTTGCAGAGTGTTTGCACAGCACTTTTGAGATCCTGAAAGAGTTTTGAGTTTGAACGCCTATTCAGTTTATAAGGAATGCATAAGATACAGATTAGTATCTCTCACATTTTAGAAAACAAAACCTATTTGTTCTTACTCTAAACCTGAAGTTTAAAAAGGATCTGGTGCTTCCTAGTTTTATGTAGAAAGGCAGGTTCTTAGCTTTGTTATACCTTCCAGTCCTTTAATTTTATGAAAACACCTTATTTTTATTCATTGATTCATTCATTTAACCAATACTTTTAGGATGTCTTATGTTTTAGCTGGTGCGCAACCTGATGAGAAATGTAAATATATGCTTCCTGTGTTTACTGAGCTTACATTTTATTAGGGAAAAAACTAAAATAATTGCAGGTCTTTCTTGAATTACAAAAGGATGATGTTCCAACGGGTTTAAGTGATAGCACAGAAGATAGGGCACTTGCCTCACATGCGGCCAACATGGCCAACCTGTATTCAATTCCTCTGCCTCTCTTTGAGAACCTAGCAAGCTACCGAGAGTATCTCGCCCGCACGGCAAACCCTGGCAAGCTACCTGTGACGTATTCAATATGCCAGAAACAGTAACAACAATTCTCATGATGCAGATGTTACTGGGCCCACTTGAGCAAATCAGTCAACAAGGGGAGGAGAGAGACAGTGACAGGGATGTTCCAACAAATCCATACAAATTGAAAATATCTCAAGTCAGCAAAGATTCTATGCACTAGTGTATATTTTAATATTATCTACTTGAACACAAACATACTCAAATTGTTTGTTTTAGTTTACAATTAAGAAAATAATCAAATGCATTTTCTTTTATAATTAGGCCCTCCTGTTGATCATCGATTTGCTCGAGCGGGCCCAGTAACGTCTCCATTGGAGATTTTGTTGTTACTATGTCTGGCATATCGAATAGGTCACGCGGAGCTTGCCAGGCTCTGCTGTGCGGGCGAGATACTCTCGGTAGCTTGCCGGACTCTCCAAGAGGGGCGGAGGAATCGAACTCGGGTCGACCATGTTGGCTGCATGCAAGGCAAACGCCCTACCGCTGTGCTATCACTCCAGCCCTCTTTTATAATAAAATATTGAATATATTTTGAATATATTATAATTTATTAACAATTACACTGAAATATATCTTTTAAAAATATTATTCCCCAACTACAAAGATTATTTCTACTAAATTGATATTGCTGTGGTACCCCTGTAAAGTTTAAAAGTCATCATGCTGTCCAGAGAGAAGGTACAGTGATAAGGCAATGTGCCAACCAGGATTCAGCTCCCAGCAATTCAAATGGTCCTTATAGCATTGGCAAAAATTTTCCCTCAGCACAGAGTCAGGAATAATCCCTGAGCTCAGACAGTAGTGGCACAACAATTGAAAGGAAAAACGGAGTTATGTTAACGACCATCTTTAATAATTATAATTATATTTAATAATTATATGTATCCAGAAAGAAAAGCTCAAAACGTTTAAGAAAGATTTAACATAAACCTTGCAGTAACACTTTCAAAAATTGAGATAAAATAATTCTAAAATCCTTCTACTTGGTAGCTTTAGCTTGATACCCAATTTAGAGAATGAATGTTAAGGGCTGGTAGGAATCTAGAGGTTCTTACTTTTGTGTCAGAATACCTCACATAAATCCTTCAACAAAAGCAGGAACTAGATTCACTCCTAAATTCCTGTTGAAATAACTTTAACTGTAATGGAGATAGAACAAACAACACAGGCAGAAGCAGCAATGTGTTATTGACAGAACTTGAAAAATAATTCTGAGTCACAAGAACCAAATTCTGAAGGATGGTGACAGTGGTGGTGGAATTAGTGTTGAAATACTGAATGCCAGTGTTGAAATACTGTATGGGAAGGAAGACTGGGACAGCTCTAATCAGATCAAATAGCTTATTTTGCTACATAATAAGAGATAAGAATAATCACTCTATTGTGGTAAGCAACCAGTTGAGAACTCTCTGACCTGATGCCCAAAGTGCATATATCAACATAGATGCATTGAATGATGGGGCAGCAAAATTTATAAAGATACTATTTACGGAATGAAATAAATCATCAATAGAGACAAAGCCATAGTTGAAGACTTCAACACTCCACTTTCACCATTGGATAAAGCAACCAGATGGCAAATCAGTAAGTATAAAGTGCCCGAAATGAGCATCTGGAAGAGCTGGGATTTATTGATAGCTACAGGATTGTATCCCCTCAAAAAGCTGAATACAGTCTTTTGTAGTGTCCATGGAGCATTGTTCAGGATATATCACATACTAGGACATAAAATAAAATAGAGAAAGCCACAAAAATAGAAACTTTATCGAGCATCTCAGATAACATTTTGAAGGTTGAAATTAAACGGCAAAAGAGAAGATAGGGGAAAGCTCCAATACTTGAAAACTGAACAGAATGGTGCTGAATAGCAACTGAGTCATAGAGGAAATCAAGAAGAAATTAAAAGCGTGCTTGAAACTATTCAGATTTAAGCAGCAAACTACCAGAATTTATGAAACACAGCAAAGGTAGTATTAAAGAGGAAATTTATAAAAATACAGGCCTATATTTTAAAATAAAAAAGGTGCATATCAGTGTTCTAAACACATATCTTAAGGACCTAGCCAAATATGAGTCCCCAAATTAGCCAAAGAATGGAGATATTAAAAATGAGAGATAAAATAAGTAATATAGAAATTAAGAAAACAATATGTATGTACAAGGAAACAAAGATCTTGTTCTTTGAAAGAATAAGGATAACATACATACCCAACCCTTAGCTTGTCATATGGGTGGGTGGGAGGAAGAAATAGGAAAATAGATATATTGGATCACAGATGAAAGGGGAGAAATTATAATAGATTTCTCAGCAATACAAAAATTATAAGAGTTCAGTTCTTATGGAAAACATTATGGAGATTCCACAAAAATTTAAGACTAGAGCTCTCATAAGACCCAGAGATCCCACTGCATGGTATCTCCAGAAGTGCTAAAATAAAGACATGGAGACACAGTACTCATTGTGGTTCTTAGCTCTTCAAGCCCTGGCAGTTCAAGAGTGGATAATAAAGTTGTGGTATACATATACATGGAGTACTACTTAGCCGCAAAGAGAAACGAAACCATGCGATTTTCTGCTACATAGATGAAACTGCAGGTTCTTATATTAAATGAAATAAGTCAGAAAGAAAAAGGTCAAGCCTGGATGTTCTCATACAAGTCATAGAATAATATGCCTACCGAATGATATACAACAAAGCTCAGAGAAACACTAGTTCTAGATCATTTGTTACCAAAACCAAAATTGTCAAGGAAAGCAACATGAAGAAGAGGTAAACAAGAAGAGGAGGTCTGGAGGGACAAAGATCAGGGACCTTGAGTCCCCCTATGGTATAGAAACAAAGTGTCTATATAATATATATATGTATATATATATGTGTATATATATATATGTTCACTGTACTTTAGTGCACATTATTGTAGCAAAGGATTCAAACTACAGCAACGAATCTTAGATTTGCTACTGTCAAGGTATGAGACTTCGAGGGAGCTGTAATCTGGAGTAAGTGCTATTGGGATGGGGAATGGAGATAGTGTAGTGGAGGTGGGAACATTGTGTGCCTAAAGCTCATGTAAATAAGTATGTAAATCACAGAGTCTAAATACAAGAAAAATAGGAATGATAATTTTTTAAATAAAACGAAGATTTTATTCACAGTACCCATAATCTCCTCTGGCTAATCAGTCATATTTTAGTGACTATTTGTCCTTGGGCTCCAGAGTGCCCTCACTCTTATTTAAGTTTATTAAACTGCTGCCCTAGAAATGTGAGCCTGCCATTTTGCTCTCACTGCCTACAGAAAAGTTAATCACAAAATATTGCACAGTGGGTAGGGCGTTTGCCTTGCACGCAGCCAAAATGGCCGACCAGAGTTCGATTCCTCAGCCCCTCTCGGAGCTACCGAGAGTATTCGATACGCCAGACACAGTAACAACAAAGTCTCCAATGGAGATGTTACTGGACCCGCTTGAGAAAATCGATGATCAACGGGAGGGCCTTTACTTTACTTTACTATCTGTATTGAGAAGAAAACCCTTACGAGGACCAATAATTGAGGGCTGAGCAGGAAATTAGTACACAAAAAAGTCTATTAGATATGAATATAATAGAGAAAACCTTGGTCATTGATACAAAGATGAGAAAGGTTTCAAAGAAACACATGCTAATGATACTTCTCTTACCTTTTTCATCTGCTCATATGAGAAAAATAGAATATTAAATTTATCTCTGTTTTCATACCAGCCTTTGATGTGATCAAACCAAATGCTTCATATCACTGTGAGGATAATGAATAAATAGCAAGGTAAGTGTGTTGCTTTTTTTTTGTCTTTTTTTAAAATTGCTATTTAAAAAAAATTTATTAGTAAGAAACCATGAGGTACAGTTGTAGACTTACACATTTTTGTGCTTGGGTTTGAATTATACAATGATCAAATGCCCATCCCTCCAGTAGTGCCAATTTCCCACCACCACGGATCCCAGTATCCCTCCCACCCCTCATCCTCCCCATCCCACCCTGCCTCTGTGGCAGTGCATTCGCTTTTGTTCTCTCTCTCCTAATGGGTGTTGTGGTTTGCAAAAGAGGTAATGAGTGGCAATCATGTTTATCTATAGTCTACTTTCAACATTCATCTCCCATCCTGGGAGGATCCTCCCAACACCCTTTATTTGGTGTTCCCTTCTCTATCTGAGCTCCCTTTTCCCCTAGCATGTGTGGCTGGCCTCCAAGCCATGGAGAGAAATTCCTGGTAGTAAATTACTTTTTTTTTTCTTTTAGCAAAAGTCTTTCTAACGAAAGTTCCCAGCTCTTGACAACTGTTTTTCCTTTTAAAATGAAGTATGGGGAAAGAATAATATGACTTTACTAAAACCTACTTTTGTTAGCCACTCTTTCTGTGAAAAACCAGTGAAAAATAGTAAGCCCAAAAAACAGACATTTTTTTATGTTAGGCAGAATCCTTTTACTACTTCTTCCACATTCAAACATCTCATTATGTTTATTTTTAAATCTGTGCTAAACAATTTAAGCTATCCATAATAAAACAGAACCTGAATATAATCTTCTAAATGAGTGGCATCCCTGTTCTACATTCCACAAGCCTTGTGCACCATTCTGCTCTCTGTAGTAGACGAATATATCACACTACCATGTGATTCCTACACAGGACAATGACAGACTGCAAAAGGCACAATAATTCTATACATAGCTATGCACAAACTATATGTATTTATTTTTCTTACGAGCCCTCAAGAAATAAGGTAGTTGAGAAAACCTACCACATAAAATCATGCCATATCACATTTTCTCACTTTCCTTCTGCTGGGAGAACGTTGTAGCATTAAGTCAGAGAAATAAGCAGAAGTAAAGTTAAGAGCTTGTTGTCTAAACATCATTCTTTCTATACTGATACTGATTGAGAATGTTTTATGTGCATATTTTTAAAGAAAATTTTTATGATGTGAGATTATTTTTTTGGTTCTTTGTTAAGAAGAATGGAAAACCAGCAGGACTGTACTACTATACAAGAAGGAAGACATCCACGACATTGGCAACTATTGCCAATCTGCCTATTATCTGTCATCTACAAGCTGTTCACTCGAGTCATCCTAAATAGGATTGGCAGAACACTAGATGAAGGACAACCATGAGAACTAGCCGGGTTCCGAAAAGGATTCAGCACTATTGACCATTTCCACATGATAAACAAGCCCATTGAGGTTTCTCAGGAGTTCAAGATGCCGCTCTGTCTAACGTTCATTGATTTAAAGAAGGCCTTTGATTCTGTTGAGACCGAAGTGGTCTTCGAAGCCCTAGCCAATCAGGACATTCAAACTCAATACATCAGGATCCTCCATAAGCTGTATTACTGATTCACTACCAGGATTTCACCATTCTAAAAAAAAGAAGTGATCATTGATGTCAAGAGAAGGTTTTGGCAGGGTGATTCTATTTCACCGAAACACTTCAGTGCCACCCTCGAGAATGTCATCCAATGACTGGAATGGGAAGGAATGGGAAAGAATGGGAGTGAAGATAGATGATCAACAACTACACTACCTCCACTTTGCTGATGACATTGTTCTAATAACACCAAACATCAGCCAAGTGGCACAAATGCTGACCACTTGACAGTGAGTGTAGAAAGGTCGGATTGCAGCTGAATCTCACAAAGACAATGTTTATGAGAAACAGTCTCGTTCCTGACTTTCCATTCACTCTCAACAGAATGACCATCTCTGAATGCAACAGTTATGTATACCTAGGTCGAGAAGTAAACATGATGAATGACTTGGCACCTGAGTTGCGCAGGAGGAAGAGAGCGGCTTGGAATGCCTTCAAGAACATCAAAAAAAATAACTAAGAGGATGAAGAACAACGAACTACAAGCACGTCTCTTTGATTCCACTGTTCTTCCTGCATTAACATATGCCTCAGAAACCTGGGCCCTGTGAAAACAGGATTAGAACGCTATTCGGGTCTCTCAAAGAGCAATCGAAAGATCTAGACTTGGAGTATCTAGCTTCACTCATATGAGAGAATGAATACGGAGTTCCAACCTCCATCAATGTTCAACAATCAGGGACGCTGTCTCATTTGCCAAGGCACTGAAAATCAGATGGGCTGGAAATTTAATTAGTTTTGGAGATGACCGCTGGACTAGAGCCATTACTGACTGTATTCCACAGGACGTCAAAAGATCGCGTGGCCGCTCACCTACCGGATGGTCAGACTTCTTCATCAAGACCCTGAAGGATCGGTTTGAGGCTATGTTCCAAGAATGAGCAGATGCCATTGGGCTATACTAGCACGCAACAGGGATGAATAGAGACGTTACTGGCACCCACTCAAGTAAATCGATGAGTACCGGGATATCAAGTGATGAAGTAATTAAGTGTTAAGAAGAAATCACTGGACTGCTGGCATGCACTCCCCACCCCAACTCAGGACCCAGAAACCCAGCCGCCGGCCCCGGGCAGGGTCCCCTCCAGCAGCCTGAGCCACTTCCTCAGGGAGCGCAGGTCCATGTAATCACCGCGCCCCCCCCCCCCCCAACAGGTCTGTGGACTAGCATCTGGACTGGCTGGGGGCGTGGTCATTATTGCAAGTGGGCGTGGCCTCCCAAAAGTGGGCGTGGCCTTCTCCTGAGCAGCGCCCCCTTAGGAGGCTGCAGTTATATTTCCCACCACCAGCACTCTGGACCCTCACCCCAGCCCTTCCCATCTAATTCTGTGGGGAAAAAATTCCGGCCACCTACACTACAATACAATAATAATCCACTGGCCTACTCCAAGTCTAACAAAAGATCAATAGGCAATAGAAGCTGTATAGAACACCTCCTACAAACCTTCACTAGATGCTTGTCATTACCCAGAAAAAAAAATGCCAGAAAAGATCCTCAGACCCTAGAAAGAGGGAAGGGTGTCCACCAGCAACCGGCCTTATCCAGAATCCTTTCCCACAATAAGTGTGAACAGTGCTGGTGAATTCCAGGGTTTTACCACTAGACAAGCAAAACAACATGAAGAAACAATGTAAATCTCCACTCCAAGGTGAAGACGAAGAAAAGATTCCCAAACTCTCAACTGGGGTCGCATACAAATATGCTCTCTCCGATAAAGAACTCCGGAACGAAATGCAGAGGATGTTAAGGACTTACTCAAAGAATCAATGGAAGAGATAGCCAGAAAACTAAAAGAAGAAGTGAAAGAAACAATAGAAAGGTTAGTCGAGAAAATACAGGAAGAAATGAGAGCAGAAACAAAAAAGCTACAGAAAGAAGTGTCACAGATAAAGGACTCGGTAGATGTAATAAAAAACTTAGTAAGTGCCCTTAGCAATAGGATAAGTTCAGCTGAAGAGAGGATCAGTGAGCTTGAAGATGAACAACAGAAATCCCATAGGGAAAAACAAGCAATGGAAAAAGATCTCAAAATGGCTCTTAGGAGAATCAGAGACCTAGGGGATGACGCCAAGAGGAACAACATTAGAATCATTGGAGTACCAGAAGGACAGGGAGGCAATCCCAATGAAAAAGCCACAGTCAAAAAAATCATTGCTGAAAAGTTCCCAGAGTTAAAGAGTGCAGACATACAGATCCAAGGAGCCAAAGGGTACCAACAAAAAGAGACCCTAATAAAAACACTCCAATGCATATCATAGTCAGAACGATGGATGCTATGGACAAAGACACAATACTACAAGCAGCAATGTCAAAGAAGGAAATCACATTCAAAGGAGCACCCCTTAGAATTACAGTGGACCCATCAGAGGAAACCCTCCAAACCCGAAGGCAATGGTGGGATATAGTGAAAAAACTCAATGAAATGAATGCCTCACCAAGAATACTTTATCCAGCTAAACTCTCACTCAAACTCAATGGAACCATACACCATTTTGTAGATAAACAACAGCTCAGGAACTTCATAGACTCAAAACCAAAACTGAAAGAAGGGCTAAAGGAGCTCCTGTAGGATAAGAAGGAAAAAACTTAGACACACAACCAGCCCCTACAGAAACATGGCACAAAATCCCATGGAAATAATTTCCCTTAATGTAAATGGCCTAAATGCACCAATCAAGAGATACAGAGTGGCAAAATGGATCCAGAAACTGAAAGCAACATTCTGCTGTCTACAAGAAACTCATCTGAACAATCAGAGCAAAAGCAGACTCAAAGTAAAAGGATGGAAAACAATCCTGCAAGCAAACAACTACCTCAAAAAAGCTGGGGTGGTCATACTAGTATCCAACAACATTAATTTCACGTTGAAAAAGATTAGAAGGGACAGCGAATGGCACTTTCTCTTCATCAAGGGATGTGTACAACAGGAAGAAATCATACTCTTAAATGTAAACGCACCTAATGAGGGAACAGATAAATACTTGAAACAACTGCTAATAGATTTTAAGGAGGACATTGCTAGCCTCACAATAACAACTGGAGACTTCAACATCTCCCTATCAAGTCTGGATAGATCAACAAGAACAAAACTCAGCAAGGAAACATTGGCTTTGAAGGAAGAAATAGAAGAGAAAGGATTTATAGACCTGTACAGGGCTTTACACCCCAAAAGAAAGAATACACATTCTTCTTCAGTGTACATGGAACATTTTCCAAAATAGACCAGGTGCTAGGCCACAAAACATACCTCAGTAGAATCAGGAAGATAGAAATACTACCAACAATCTTTTCAGACCACAATGCACTGAGAATAGAAATGAATCACACACAGACATGGAGAACCAAATCAAACACCTGAAAACTAAACAACTC